ATTATGTAAGCCCACTAGCTGATGGAATAGTATAAACCCAACGACCCATATATGTATATATATATATAAACTCCCTATTTACGAAAGATTCCCAAACTGGTTCCGCCACTGGTTTTTATTATGGGGATCTCAGGCACAAATCTTACCAGATTCTTTTCAAGCCTTTCAAACCAAATTTGCACAACATAATACTTGCACCGAACCGAATTGGATGATTTTCATCATTACTTCATAGCCATCTACTAAATACCCTGGATCCTAAAATGGGATTATGTCATCTCTGAAAATAATACGCATAATCATGAGTACATTCCTAAACTTGGCAAAACCATCAAAGTTAAATGGTGGGATATTTTTAGTACTGATCCTGCCTCCTTACCCCTTAAACGCATACCTCCTCAAAACAATATCCTGAACCCACAAACACATAATACAGTCAGCCTACCTACATTCTCTGCTTATTTGAAAAAGATGAGACTCGCACACCCTAATGCTACCCTTGAAGAATTAGAGCAAAATCTTCTCAATACCTTTGCTCCTGATACCATTGCACTGACTACGTCAGAAGAAACAGTTCAATCTGGCAATCCATTGTTAGAAGACTTCAGCCAAAGGCCTGACCAATAACATAATTGCGACCCGATACTGCGACCCGATACGGCGACCCGACTAATACAATTAGACCCGATACTACGACCCGATACGGCGACCCGACTAATACAATCAGCATCAGCAGCAGCTCACATGATCTGACATAAAGCAGATTCTTATCTTTTCCTTTATTTGTGACATGACTCCACTCGAAAAGCAGCTTCTTATATTACCTTTATTCGCGACATGACTTCACTTTATGCACGACATGACTCCACTTTATGCATGATGTGACTTCAACTACAGTCACACCTCCCTCAGATGCTCGCCACGAAGTCTCAAGCACAGTTATAAAGATTCCTTCGTCACGTCAACTCTCCAGCAACCAATCAGAATGATACCTTCGACATCAAGTTACCTCTCGCCAATCAGAAAGGATACCTTCGACACCAAGTTACCTCTCGCCCTCTATAAATAAACCGTTTCACTTACCAGAAGTAAGGTTGGCAAGGATTTTCAGCAGACTAAGGAAGATCAAGCTCAGCTTCTCTTTTGCTCTTCTCTTCTTTCTGTTCTCTTACTCCTTTCGCTCAGTGCTGTTGTAAATCTACCGTATCTCAAGTCGGTAACGCCTTACTCTTCCTTATTTGTTACATGTGTGATTGTAATTTATCAACTCTACCCTCTTACTGCCCTCACGAATGGCAGTCATTTTCCAGTTTATGTATTTGTAATAATCCGTAAGTATGTTTGCTTGTATTTCCTTTTCTGAATCAATATATGTGAATATTATGTTTGTTCCGCGATGCAATTTAAATTAGTATTTAACATAAAAATTCGTAATTGTACTCCTACTTCTTGGATAGTCATAGATATATCTATTGTATCTGTTATTGTTATCATCTTAACATTTTTATATTATGTTAACATATTACAACAAGTAGTATCTTATCATAGTTTAATATTTCAATTCCTTAGATAAGTCCTGTATTTGAGTTGTTAGAAGTTGTTAGTATCTATAGGGTGATCTTGGCGCATTTATGGTATCAGAGCCAACCCTGTATTAGAGGACTAAGAGTTATTACTAGTTCTTTTATCTTAAGAAACTTAACAAATTAATCCATTAAAGAAAGTTAGTCCGAGCATTGAGGTTAGAGACGCTCTGATACCCAGTCAATTGACCGTTTAGGCCAGAAGAGCCGCTGAGGTCTAGAAGACGTAAGAGGTAGTCAAAGAGGACGGTCCAGATAACACTCAACCGCAACTTAATAATGGAGAAATTTATTAAGAGTCTGTTGGATAAAACAACCAGTGCAACTAATAGGACTCTAAGGATAAAAAATAAAGAAGAAATTATTATTAACGATATTTAAAATCAAATAAAAAATTGGAACATACCCAGAGTACCAATATCAGATGTATATATGAAAGGCACATTCGATCTAAAAATCAGATATGCTATTAAAACAGTAGAACAGACTCTATCTGTTACAAGTAATCAAGAAGATTTTCAATTATTATCCCAAAAAATATTACAGGTCCATAAAACAAAAAACTTTAAATTATGATATGATTTGAGTAAGTGGTCAAATTTAATGACATCTGAATCAGTGTCTATTTCGGAGGTTTTGTTATGGAGTTCAAGGATTTGAATTCTATTTTTTAATTGAGTTACTTTTATCTTGACTGTATTTACTTCGGCTTTGAGTTCAGCAATAGTAGGTTCTTTTTGTGTAGCTTCATGCTGACTGACACGTTTCATTATATCAGAAAAGTTATAATTATCAGGAGGATTGACTAATGGCATATGTTTTGTTTTTGTTTTAGTCAAATTAATAAACTGAGTAATTATTTCTCTTTTTTCATCAGGATCAGCAATTTTTTCTATTAGGTCTAAAATAAGATTGTCCTTTTTTGTTAGCGTATGGATATCAGAAGTTGTAATAGGACATTTACATATTTCTTCATCTGTGTCAGAACTACTATTCGTGGACCAATAGAAATCATCGTTATGCATGGTGCCTACAAAAGATGTATCACTACTTGTTGAAGTAGTGTCCGTATCTGAGCTAATAGATGAATCATATATTTGAATAATGTCATATGTTTTATATCTGATGTTTTCATCTAATGTAATAGAGTCTAATTTTTGTTTGACTTTGCATTGGCTTTTATAATGGCCAACTTTTCCACATTTATAGCAAACAGGTAATTTCTTACTGTTTTGTTGGAATTTTTTAGATGCAAAACATTTAGTAAATTTCTTATATTTTTTTATGTTTGGTTGGAAAAGACGTATGTGTTTTTTTCGGTTTATTAATGCGATGTTTTTTCTTTCTATGTATTTTATGTATTTTATGTGGTTTGTGTTTATCAATATGATAGCCAAATTGTTGGCAGAAGTCTCCTAACTCCTTTTTACCACTTATGTTTTGTTTATCAAGTTGTTTTTTAAGTTTCATATATGTGCATAGGGCTCAGCCTTCAGCACATATTTCAGAGGATAATTCACCTAAAGTATATTGAGCGTAATTGATTATACCACTATTTTTATTTTTCAGACGTTTTTTGACCTTTTCAGCGAATAGATATGGTAATCCTGCTGCGAACTTTTCTTTCCAGTGGTCAAGATGACTATCTTCTCGTATAAGTAAACGAGAGAAAAAGACGTCTTTATACCATTTATAGTGAGATAGTGTAGGACAATGTAAATTAGATAAAAGATCAGCAGTTCGAGCTGCAAGTATTAGAATAGAAAACTTATTACATCCTCCCACATATAAAGAAAAGAAACAGTTATTCTTTAAACCTCCTCCTGAATTAAATAAAAAAAAATTTCATATAGGTGATGATAATAAATCACTAATGGATCAATTAATTTCCAAATTATCGAAATTAGAAATAAAAGAGCCCAAACCTAAAGAAAATATTATTATACCAGCTAACGATAAAGGGAAAACATAAATCCCTGAACATGATAATATGACTCTTCAAGAAGAAATAATGTTCCAAAAAAATGAAAATTTTGAACCATCAATTGCCAACACAATATCAAATATTCAAAAAGCATTTTCTGAACATCATATTACCCCGGATACGATAAATCGAGTCAACTATAATAAAAATTGGCAACCAATAAATGCCCGACCATGTTATAAAAGACCAACCCCAGTTGATATCCAATTAGAAGAAGACCTTACAAGTCATACCTCTACATATACTGGTCGAACTATTATAGATTGGAACATTGATGGAATTTTCGATCACCGAATATTCGATACAATGAAACATATGACTATGTATGCTTCGGCATGTAAAATGGCTGGGAGTCATGATCAGGAAATAGCAAAAGC